TTGACAGAAGAGGGCTGCGTTGGACTAAAGTTGATGCAGAGAATGTTGCCCCAGATTTCCCATGCTATGAAGAGACTGAATTGCGCCAACTTACTCTTGGAGTATATCAACTTCGCATGGCCCATTCCTATGCTAAAGAGCACATTGATGAAGATGGTGGATTTGAAATCTGCATTAGTGATGACATTCCTGGGTTGGTTAGTGCTAAGATTCAAAGCAGACATATAGCTGCTAAACAGTACAGATGCTGGGTTAGTTTCAGTGATGGAGTGGTGGATGGGTGGTACTGCAAATGTAAAGCTGGGACTAGAGTCGTTGGAATGTGTGGTCATGTAACCAGTGTTGTATGGTAGCTCTCTTTCGGGCGTCATCAGGAGTTGGTGAAAGGGGTTCGTAACTGGACTACATCACTGGAGGACGCCTCTGACATCCAGGACATTATAGATGAATCGGATAGTGATGGTGATGACAATGGTTTGGAAGAGTGATAAAGAACGAAGAAGCATTACAGATAGAAAGAGATCAGTTACATGAAACTGTACGGTTATGCCTGAGCTCGAAAGAGACAGACTTCTTTATATCTACAATTACATTTCATTCTTGCATAATGATACAATGTTGTTTCTCAGTTTGTTGATACTTCCTCATCGAGTCACTTTGTTAACTTACATGTATTACCAAGCAGCTAAAATGAATAATTATTTTTTAAATGATTATCATTCTGAAAGATGAAATTGACGAATGAATTGTGAATATACTATTTCTATATTTGTCAAAAAATTATTTATGTGTTTTACATCAGCCATAAAGCAATATTCCTACAAGTATATGGTTTACTATACCAGTGTACGTGTTCATTAACAATAAAATAATTTTGAGTTACCCTGGCAATGACTTACTAAAATATAAATGAAAACAAGATGTGTTTGTAAAACACTATGCCACCAGCATCAACAAAGTTCGAAAAAGTTATTTTTTAACATACAGGTCACAGTTAAGGTCATTCACATGTGAAAGAACTTAATCAGTTGAGTATGCATACCAAATATGAAGTCTCTATCTTCTATGGTTAAAAAAATATGGCAAACGTCAAAAAAGCTATTTTTAGCACATAGTTAAATAGGTCACAGTCTAGGTCACATGGTCATTAACCTTGGTGTCATGTGAAAGAGTTTAATTAGTGGTGTATGCATACCAAATAAGAAGTCTCTATCTATCATGGTTCAAAAGTTATGGCGAAGGTTAAAGTTGACAAAAGGCAGACAGAAAAACGGGTAAACAGACAAACAGATAAGCAGACAGGACAAAAAAATATAAGCCCCATAAAAAGTGAAGATTACGAATAGTGATTGATTTAAAAAAATGTATAAATGTATAATTTAATGCTCATTGGCAATATATATTTAAGTTCACTGCATTATTATGATGCCATGTCTTACATAACTTAGTAAATCTTGGAAAGAGAAATTGTGTTAATGATGATTGAACAACAGCGAGGTTAACTTTTTTTTATTGCTTAGCAACCCAGAACTTATATGTATACATATCTGAAAAAGATTTTTGTCAACTGAATGTAGTTCATTATAATAACCTAGCTTCAGTGAATAATTTAATAATTACCATTTCAAACATCCATTGCAGTAAAACTCATCAAAAAAATTAAAAACGTCCAAAACATGGTTAAAGTTAGGCACTTAATTGACCTTTGACCTTTGATTTCCATTGGTTAGATCAAGTTGGTGGTTTAATAATAATCATAACATATTTATAATTAATTCTTATAACATTTTACTTAATGGTACACTAAAGCACGTCACGCAAACATTCATTTTGGTAAATAATTAGTATGAAGTGAAATCCTTAGGTGTCTGATTTCGCTTTTAAAAGGGCGACGTCAAAATATCAGTACTGTACTTTGAAGAATTATATTTCAGGCGTTTTAAAAGATATCAATTTAAAATTACTATTTTTATAAATAAGATATACTGTAATAGTTTATATTGTATTTTAGTTGATTTCCTGGACCGGGCATATTTTTGCCCAAACTGTACTTTCTTCTCTGAAATCAGGCTGCTATGCTTTATAGTTACCATGGCAACATGTCTCAAAGTTCGAAAAATGGCATTTTTTAACATGTTTAGAGCCCCATAGTTAACATTTGCGACAAAGCAAACAACTGGCAATGACTGTTTCCAAAAGTTGAAGGTCAGATGTCTCAAATGCATGATAAACTTGTTTGGTAAATCAACTATTACATACGTTACTATGGTAACAAAATATTCAAAAGTAAAAAAAATATTCATTGAATTTTATAAAGTCATACGCGTAAAAATAAAAATCAATTATAGGAGGAAATGTGAGCAAATAATAGAAAAAAAGAGCCTTGAAACATATACCAACTAACCAAGAACAAAACATGATATTTCATTTTGGTTGGCAATGGTTGCCAAGGTTTTTATACCACAGAGAGCCTTCAAAGTAACACTCTATATGTTTAAATCTGATCCTATCTGTTAAAAAAGCACATTTCCTCATAACTACTGATCAATTTTATAAGATGTTGGTGTGCTCCAAGTTTTCCCATTTGAAAAAATTCAGATAAGATTCTTTAAATAGAGCATTGCTATGGAAATAAGCAGAAAATATATGCTTAAAAACCTGAAAAATATTTTCTCTCCTTGGATACGTACCCTTAAATGTAGATTCCCAAAACTTTTATGATTGATATTGATTAACAGCTAACTTGAATTTTAATTTTGACAATCATCCAATCTCCAAGTGGATGCAAGAAGTTGGCACACAGGGTTTAATATTGATATAAAGTTCACAAAATCGAACATTTTCCCTTCTTGGTAACCATAGCAACAGTGTTGTTTTATTCATCAAATTTTATCAATATATGATATTCAACTTCAGTTCTAACAGATAAGTACTATTCAAGCTGAGTCCTTTAATTTGTTTCTTGATTAAATGGCAATTTAATTCTTAATGCAACGAAAAATAATTCACTCTTAAGCACTGGTACTTTGTTTCCATGGTAACACTGCAAAGTAGCAATTATACCCAATCTTTCTTATGGTTTTGGTGTTGCAAAGTCCTAAGGATGCATATTTGCCAGTCTTGAATTTTCATGTTTTTCCTCAAGACAGTAGCATTAACCATGTTAACCCAATCTTAGTTACTGGTTTTGCATGGTTACACTGTGTTACCATGGCAACCATAAAAGTTATTTATAGAATAATATTGGTTATACTTATATACTTAAGGTCAAACATTTTCATTGTTTTTCTTAAGTCGTTGATTGAGTTTGAGCATGTAACACCTACCATTAGTGAATACAGAGTGTTTTTTAGCATATTTCAGCATTTTAAATGTATTCCAAATGTACCCTTGGTTATTACTTACTTAGAGATATATTCTAAACAGTTTCTTTACAGTAGAAGTGACATCAAGGTGTCATGTTTCTGTGATAATGGTTTGTTTGCTTTTTCTAGTTTTTATTAAGCCATAGTCAAGATTCAAAGTGGCTGAAAATCTCGATTTTTCAAACTTTTCCGGCTGTTGCCATAGCAACCGAGACACATAGCAATGAAATTTTGTTTGATATTTGTTTCTGGTGTCAAGTACTAAGCATGGGCATACATGTGATTCTTCCGGCGGGTGGCAAAATCTCCCGATTTTTAACCCCCCTTCCGCCCCTCCCGATTAAGTTTTAAATCTTCCGTGTTTAGAATAATTCTTCAAATTAAATATATTTTGCATTACTTTTTATCAAGTTTCTTATAATTGCTTAGAATGACAATACATTGAGATAACAACGGCATTGCAATAAATTCACAGCAGTAGGCTTCATAGTAATCAACATGAGGTCGTATAATTCGGTTGTAAAAATTAGTGTTATATCACATGATAAATGACCATCGATGTTTTATTGCTGGATTGCTGAATGCAGAACATTGTAATTAGTTACTAAAATACTCAATTGCCATCTTCTAATGCTGCGGTGGTCATTAAAATATACAGTTATAAGGCCTAGAAAAAAAATATATTTGTTTCCGCTTTCCCGACCGACCCTAATTTATAGTGCCGACCCTAAATATTTTTTTAATGCTTTTGTCCCATGATGTGCAAGATTTCAACCAGGGAATTATGGCCTCCAACTTTGCAAGCTTTTCAAGACAGAAAGAAGTTTGGGTCACCTTTCTATTATAAGTTAAGTCACAGTAATGCTTGAAAACACCATTTCTTTTGTCATTAATGTTACTTCTACACACGTTTTGATTAAAGAAGCAAAAAAAATTTTTCAAAAAAAAAAAAATTGCCTACCTACCTACCCTATATTTTTTCAGCCTGAAAGCGGAAACAAACATATTTTTTTTCTAGGCCTAATATGGGTCAAACTTTAGTTAAAAAATAGATCAAACTGCCCTTGCGAAAAAAGACCAGGATATCACAAGATTTCCTGGGAACTTCTCAAGATTTCTTGGTGAAAAATCCCAGGAAATCTCAGGTAAATCCTGGTTCCTGGCCCCAGGAATTGTCAGGATGGTATTGGAACAAGGATTTCTCATGATTTCTCTGGACATCCTGGTAAACCAAAATATCCTGAGAAGTACTTGAGAATTCCTGGGACCACAGAATTCCTGTCCTTGTCCTGACTTCAGGAATATTTCACAGTAGTATAGAAATCCTGAAATTTCCTGGGACCAGAATCCTGTCATAATCCTGGCCTCATGAACGTGACTTGAAAGTGTTAAAATCCTGGGATATCTTGAGACGTTCCTGAGATCATAATTTCAAGCATTATCCTGACCTCAGGAATATTTCATGGAAGTATAAAAATCCTCAGAATTATCTTGAAATATTCCTGAAATCAACAAATCACCAGTCACTGACTCCTGACTTCTGTCATTTTGAACCACATTAAGGTAACAGGGTTGAAAGTGTCCCATTCTTTACTCACTAAAAAAAAAAACAATAATAAAGAATTGTTAAGCAATTTATTCCTGTATCAAGTGCCTCTTTCTTAGCAACTTTAACCTGTCTCTCATAATGTTATGTATCGCTGTCACAGTAACGCCTTGAAAACTTTCTGCTATCAAACCTGTAAAATTAAAAGAGATAAATAATCTTATATACTCTGTTGAATATTCATTTAGACCCCAACGCAAGAAAAAAAACCCCAAAAATATGTAGACTTACAAAATAAAATTACCTTCAATCAAACTCCTTTTATCTTCATTAAGACCTTTCTTTTGTCCTTTCTTGGTGCTGACACCCATTACACTTGAAGTCGTGAGTTCCTCAATGGAGAAGAACTTCAACAGCAAATAGTTAATTCCTTCACTGCAGTTCTTTTTTAATTTGAGATTTGATTTCAGCTCCTCCTGTATTATTAATTAAGAGTATTGAGTTGACTTTAATACACTTCAGAAACTGATAGTTAATATGGTATGTAACTTGGTTGATAATGTTCACACTAAGATAAATAGTACTGTAAATTCCTAGAAATATCCAAGGAATTAATAATAATAATAATAAATGGTGAAACAAAATAAATTTCATTTTTATACTGATAAAATGCAATATCAAGGATTTATGATATAAAATACTAGTATTTGCATAAAGTAAGGAATCTACAGTATGTGTGATAACAACTTCGCAAGTGAGTTAAGGCTAAATATGGATATTTCTATGCAAATGAGCTAATAAAAAATCATAAGTTGTGTATTTTATGTTCAGAGAAAGTTCAAATTGATTTTGTTATACATATTTAGTATTCACAGTTTGTTAATTCAAGTGCAAATTATGACGTCATAATATGACATCATTGTTCTCTCCCATTCAAGGCAATAAATCACATTAAAAAAAAATCACATCGGCACAAGGGCATATCCTGTCTAATTTAAAATAAACAATGTATAATATTAAGGAGAGTATTCTTAAAACCAAGAATGTATTAGAAAACAAGTCTAAAATTTTCTGTGCGGCTATGGTAGGACAATTATGGAATTTAACTAGATACTTTGCATAGAAACCTCCATATGTAGCCTTAACTCACTGCAGCATTGCATTATTAATCTTCTAGTTCCTTAAAAAATATCTTCCACATTTTCACATGACTTATTCTTAAAACAAGAGGCCCATGGGCCACATCGCTCACCTGAGTAACTTTTGTGATGCAGTTCTTTACCAAATTTCCCCCTCTTCTTATATCATTGTGGCCGCTTACCCCCTCTCCGTCTTGATTTTAATAATTTATAATCTACACTACCTGAAGGATGCTTGTACCTTAGTTTCAGCTTTCCTGGCCCACTGGTTCTTGAGAAGATTTTTCCTATATATATTTTTATATAAAAATTCCCTGTTTTGGCTCCGCCCTACCCAGAGGTCATGATTTTAACAATTTAAAATTTACACTATCCCAGGATGATTTCACAAAAGTTTCAGCTTTTCTGGCCCAATGGATCTTGATAAGAGGATTTTTAAAGCTTTTTTCTATATATATATATTGTACGTAAAACTTGGATTTCCTATTGTGACCCCGCCCTACCCCGGGGTCATCATTTCTACAATTTAGATTCCTCACTATCCCAGGATGCTTGTTCATAAGTTTCAGCTTTTCTGGCCTTTTCTATGACCTAGCCCTTTATTTTAACAATATTAACTCCTCATCCCCCAAGGATGCTTTGTACCAAGTTTGGTTAAAATTGGCCTAGTGGTTCTTGAGAAGAAGTTGAAAATGCAAAAAGTTTACCGACGGACGGACAGACGGATGGGCGGACTATGGACAAAATGTGATCAGAAAAGCTCACCTGAGCCTTCGGCTCAGGTGAGCTAAAAAAGTCAAATAGATATAGGGGATAAAAATACCATGTTAAGTCCATATGGACTTGAGGTCTCCTCTTCATGGTTCTTTTCATTGCCTTTACTATGTTTCTGAAGGCAAAAAATCATTAAGAATGGAAATAATCATTTGACAAACTATTCACTTTAAATAATAAAATATTTTAAAAGTGTGTTGAGCATGAGGACAAAAATTTTCAAAAGTTCATAAGATAAAGTTTAAACTATTATCTTAGCTTGTGCATCAACTAGTGTTGTTACAATAGTCGCCGACTATCGAAAAATTGCTGTTTAAAGGCCCAGATCGGTGACAATCGAGTGTAAATATTATCATCAATAGATAGCTATATATTTCCAGCCGTATTTTTCAAGCCGAGCAGGTTTAACTTATATATTCACCAAAGGGACGTCACTCTAATCAGCGGTAAACAAAGTGGCGAACGTGCATGGTGAAGAGGTTGACGCCGAATTACGTCCATATCCTGGTGCAACACGATCTAAAATACTTCTAAGTACGACTCTTGCACACTGCCTGTTGAACAAAGATTATATTATAATTGTAGCCATGATTATTATTGTTGAATATGGACTAAGGATAATAATATGACATGGAAAACACCATAGGTTTCAGTAAAAGAAAAACAAACATTAGAGACATTTCCAAAAGTTGATCATGCCTAAAAAAAAAAAATTGTGTGTTTTGGGTAACCCGACCTAACCTATAAAAATGTGCAGATCCTAAAATTTTTTTTCAATGTCTGTAATTCCTATTATTTCTATGAAAATCAAAGGTTAGGTGTCATGAGGTCTGTGTGCAAAATATCAAATAAATGAACCTTACATTTCTCAAGATATAAGGGACAGGCAGACACTAAAACTGATTAACAAAGTTCAAATTAAAGGTTTCTTACCTTTCATCCCTGGCCTACTCATGGTAGGGAATGTTTCATCTGTAAAAAGAAATTGAATTGCAGATATGTATTAACTAACAAAATGGTCAAAGATAAAATGAAGCATTCTAATTATTTTTACAGTAATAGTACCTGTGTATGTTGACAATGGGGTCAAACTTGCACTGGGTGTAAATGTCGCAATGCTTGTGCTTGAGCCGGTGGAGGATAAAAAACTTGCTTCCTCTGCAAACAGAAAAAGCATTCATTATTAATTACTGAAAAGATGGTCTAAGATTAAGTGAGACAGACTCATGGTGCCTAATGGTACCTTTGCATGGTGACATTGTTAAACTTGCAATGGGTGTTGCAATATTGCTCGTGTTAAAGCTAGTGCTTCGGGGAAAACATGTTCCATCTGTAAAGAGAAAAAAGACTGATTATTAATATCACTTTTACTAAGACGATCAAATTTTAAGTGAAGCAGACTTCTCATAATTTTTACAGCAATAGTACCTGTGTATGTTGACAACGGGGTCAAACTTGCACTGGGTGTAAATGTCGCAATGCTTGTGCTTGAGCCAGTGGAAGATAAAAAACTTGCTTCCTCTGCAAACAGGAAAAAGCATTCATTATCAATAACTGAAAAGATGGTCTAAGATTAAGTGAGACAGACTCATGGTGCCTAATGGTACCTTTGTATGGTGACATTGTTAAACTTGCAATGGGTGTTGCAATATTGCTCGTGCTTAAGCTGGTGCTTCGGGGAAAACATGTTCCATCTGTAAAGAGAAAAAGGACTGATTATTAATATCACTTTTACTAAGAGGATCAAATTTTAAGTGAAGCAGACTTTTCATAATTTTTACAGTAATAGTACCTGTGTATGTTGACAACGGGGTCAAACTTGCACTGGGTGTAAATGTCGCAATGCTTGTGCTTGAGCCGGTGGAAGATGAAAAACCTGTTTCATCTGTAAACAGAAAAAGTATTCATTATTAATAACTGAAAAGATGGTCTAAGATTAAGTGAGACAGACTCATGGTGCCTTATGGTACCTTTGTATGGTGACATTGTAAAACTTGCAATGGGTGTTGCAATATTGCTTGTACTTAAGCTGGTGCTTCGGAGAAAACATGTTCCATCTGTAAAGAGAAAGATGACTGATTACTAATATCACTTTTACTAAGACGATCAAATTTTAAGTGAAGCAGACTTCTCATAATTTTTACAGTAATAGTACCTGTGTATGTTGACAATGGGGTCAAACTTGCACTGGGTGTAAATGTCGCAATGCTTGTGCTTGAGCCGGTGGAAGATGAAAAACTTGCTTCTTTGCAAACAGAAAAAGCATTCATTATTAATAACTGAAAAGATGGCCTAAGATTAAGTGAGACAGACTCATGGTGCCTAATGGTACCTTTGCATGGTGACATTGTTAAACTTGCAATGGGTGTTGCAATATTGCTCATGCTTAAGCTGGTGCTTTGGGGAAAACATGTTCCATCTGTAAAGAGAAAAAAGACTGATTATTAATATCACTTTTACTAAGACGATCAAATTTTAAGTGAAGCAGACTTCTCATAATTTTTACAGTAATAGTACCTGTGTATGTTGACAATGGGGTCAAAATTTCATTTGATGACAGATTGCTGGTCCCAGTAGTTTGTGCACTTGAAGTCGAACTTGTTTCAGTTTCATTTTTAGACTTACACCTACTGATCTTTCTCAACTCCAAGATATTTTCTGATGCTGCCTTCTGTGCAGAAGATTCTAATTCTATAACATGAAAAACCATTGAACATGAAAGAACACTTAATAGTTAATACAGTCATAAAAACCAAGCTTCTTTATGACTCTGCTAGTTTATTTGAAAGACATAAGCGCAAAGAATATTTTTCTTGCAAGCTTTTTAGGATTCTGTGAGATCTAACTGCACATTATAAAGATCCTGTACCCTATTGTGAAAAAAGAAACTTCAAATCAATTTCGTAGTCTAGATCAATGTATAAACTCTTATAATTTAAAGGAGTGCATTAAATCATTAAACGGGCACATTGAATTTTTCACTCCACTAAATCTGTGATTGCTTAATTGGTCTCTCAGTTTCTATATACAAGTTCTAAATTTTACCCTTTTGAACTTTATTTTCCTCTCGTTTTCTTTTCATCTCCTCCATCTCCTTTTCTGTCCTTTTTCTTTTTCCTTTCTGTTTTGTACCCACTAAAAGACATATTTTCACACAAATATGTATATGTATTAATTTTTACATCCTACCTTATAATGTTATAATGGGGTATTTATGGGTATGAAAAATTTTTCAAATGCAGGTATAAAAGTTACTTAATTTTTCCAATGACATACTTGTATGTTCTAAGAAACCCTACCATTGCTGTTTGATTTTGCTAGTGTGTTTTCTTCCGACACTGCTAGAACAGGTGTCAATGTCTCACTGGTATCTGCATCTAAATTAAAAATTTTTTTGTTATAATGATTTGTATATTCCACTTATAATGAACCTTGAAATCAACAAAGAATATGTCTTAATTGTCCTTTAATTAAGATCACATACCAAAGGCCCGACATGTCATGATTTTTTTAACAGGGTGTTGCTAAAAAATATACCTGACTCTACTTTCACTTTGTTGTATTTTTAGAGAAATTAATTTTATCTCTTACATTTTATTTTTAAAAAAAATTACTGACATAAAATATGTTACAATTAAGATCTATATATGTTTTACTTCACTTACTGCTAAAAAATTTACTTCGCTCTACTTTGTTGTATTTTTAGAGAAGTTAATTTTATCTCTTCATATTCTATAATTTAAGGCCTAAAAACAAATTACTGACATAAAATATGTTACATAAGATCTATGCATGTTTTACTTCACTTACTGGTTGATGTATCAATACCAAACCAAAAATAAAATTTTATTCAATTTTTTAATGATGATGTTAACTCTTAATAATTTAATTTCACTTGTATCAAGCAATTTAATTGGCTGAATCATTCAGAGGAACCTATAATATTTTGTATAACATAACTTGCCTACGTCACAATGAGTTACGTCAAAAACCTATTACTCCGCTTGACGTTACTTTAAAAATATGCTATATTTGAAGCCTTTTTTCGGAGGAAAAATTGTATCATCGTATATACTGAAATTAAATTATAAGGAATTAAGCTTATTTCTGAAGAGTGAACATAGAGTCCTGATGTTTCCTGACAAAATCCTGTGCCTGATGTCACGATATCTCAGGATTTGATAATTGCCAGGAACAAAAACAAGAGGCCCATGGGCCACATCGCTCACCTGAGAAACTTTGACCATTCTGTTCTTTACCAGATTTCACCCTTGTTATACATAATGCATCCCCACCCTACCCCACTGATCATAATTTAGACATTTTGAAATCTACACTACCCCATGATCCTTCCATGGGCACATATGTTTCAGCTTTTTTGGCCCAGTGGTTCCTGAGAAGAAGATTTTCAAAGATATTTCCTATACATTTCTAAGTAAAACTTTGATTCCCTATAATGGCCCTGCCCTTCCCCCGGGGGTCATGATTCCTACAATTTAGAATTTACACTACCCCAGAATGCTTCCACATAAGCTTCACTTTTTCTGGCCCAGTGGTTCTTGAGAAGAAAATTTTCAAAGATTTTTCCAATATATTTCTATGTAAAACTTTGATTCACCATTGTGGCCCCGCCCTTCCCCCTGGGGTCATTAATTGAACAATTTAGAATCTACACTATACCAGGATGCTTCCACATAAGTTTCAGCTTTTCTGGCCCAGTGGTTCTTGAGAAGAAGATTTTCAAAGATTTTTCCTATATATTTCTATGTAAAACTTTGATACCCCATTGTGGCCCCGCCCTTCCCCTGGGGGTAATGATTTGAACAATTTAGAATCTACACTATACCAGGATGCTTCCACATAAGTTTCAGCTTTTCTGGCCCAGTGGTTCTTGAGAAGAAGATTTTCAAAGATTTTTCCTATATATTTCTATATAAAACTTTGATTCCCCATTGTGGCCCCACCCATCCCCCGGGGGTCACGATTTGAACAATTTAGAATCTACACTACCCCAGGATGCTTCCACATAAGTTTCAGCTTTTCTGGCCCAGTGATTCTTGAGAAGAAGATTTTCAAAGATTTTTCCTACATATTTCTATGTAAAACTTTGATACCCCATTGTGGCCCCGCCCTTCCCCTGGGGGTCATGATTTGAACAATTTAGAATCTACACTATACCAGAATGCTTCCATATAAGTTTCAGCTTTTCTGGCCCAGTGGTTCTTGAGAAGAAGATTTTCAAAGATTTTTCCTATATACAGTGTATTTCTATGTAAAACTTTGATACCCCATTGTGGCCCCGCCCTTCCCCCGGGGGTCATGATTTGAACAATTTAGAATCTACACTATACCAGGATGCTTCCACATAAGTTTTAGCTTTTCTGGCCCAGTGGTTCTTGAGAAGAAGATTTTCAAAGATTTTTCCTATATATTTCTATGTAAAACTTTGATACCCCATTGTGGCCCCGCCCTTCCCCCGGGGGTCATGATTTGAACAATTTAGAATCTACACTATACCAGGATGCTTCCACATAAGTTTCAGCTTTTCTGGCCCAGTGGTTCTTGAGAAGAAGATTTTCAAAGATTTTTCCTATATCTTTCTATGTAAAACTTTGATTCCCCATTGTGGCCCCACCCATCCCCCGGGGGTCACGATTTGAAAATTTAGAATCTACACTACCCCAGGATGCTTTAACATAAGTTTCAGCTTTTCTGGCCCAGTGGTTCTTGAGAAGAAGATATTCAAAGATTTTTCCTACATATTTCTATGTAAAACTTTGATACCCCATTGTGGCCCCGCCCTTCCCCCGGGGGTCATGATTTGAACAATTTAGAATCTACACTATACCAGAATGCTTCTATATAAGTTTCAGCTTTTCTGGCCCAGTGGTTCTTGAGAAGAAGATTTTCAATGATTTTTCCTATATATTTCTATATAAAACTTTGATTCCCCATTGTGGCCCCGCCCTTCCCCTGGGGGTCATGATTTGAACAATTTAGAATCTACACTACCCCAGAATGCTTCCACATAAGTTTCAGCTTTTCTGGCCCAGTGATTCTTGAGAAGAAGATTTTCAAAAATTTCCCTATGTATTTCTATGTAAAACTTCGATTCCCCATTGTGGCCCCGTCCTTCCCCCGGGGGTCATGATTTGAACAATTTAGAATCTACACTACCCCAGGATGCTTCCACATAAGTTTCAGCTTTACTGGCCCAGTGGTTCTTGAGAAGAAGATTTTTTAATGACCCCACCCTATTTTTGTCTTTTCTTGATTATCTCCCCTTGCGAGGGGATATGTCCCTTCATTTTAACAATTTAAATTCCCCTTTACCCAAGGATGCTTTGTACCAAGTTTGGTCAAAATTGGCCCAGTGGTTCTTGAGAAGAAGTCGAAAATGTGAAAAGTTTACAGACGGACAGACAGACAGACGGACAGACGGACGGACGGACGGACGACGGACAAAATGTGATCAGAAAAGCTCACTTGAGCCTTCGGCTCAGGTGAGCTAAAAATTGAGAACGAGAAATGTCAAGATATCTCAGGAAAATCCCAGGATACCTTGACTTCTCCTGGGCCTACAGGATTTACTTTAATTTCACTACTGAGCATTTGACTAAAAATTTAAACATATCATTTCAAAGCTAACCTTTATGAAATAAAAATTATTTTAAGTAATATAGAGAGAGATGGCATTTTCTAGGGAGTTGGATGGTCATTCACGATTTGAAAAAATGTCGATAAAAAATCTCCAGCTTTGAGACCCAAACTCCAACTGAAAAATTTCAAATCTCCAGTTGTGATTGTTCAGTTCTGTCACATGTATGCATGGGTGAAGTTTCATCAAAATCGGTGACCATGTGTGGCAACGAAGTTTAAGTGGTTACAGAGAATGGCTATTAAAACTTTAGGATCCCTCGTGGCTAGTAGAAGTTTTAGTAAAGTTTATACCACGCATGTATGTAGAAATTGTGAAATAAGCAAAACAACAAAGAAAACAATAAATTACATATTTTATATATTCATGTGAAAGAAATAATATGAAATAAATGCAACAGCCTGCTTTTTATATACCAAACTATGACATCCGATTATAATTGGTATAATCGCATCGGAAGCAGTAACCGATTCCAACCGATGATCGATTGTGAAAATTAACCGATGTCCCATCACTAGTGCTCTAATGGATTTCTAAATATTATTTTTTATGTGTGTTCAAAGACTTAAAATCACATAAGTACATGTAAACCAGAATGCGCAATTACGTAATGTCGAACGGTCATTGGATTTTATATGCACACTAGCACTGTAGGTAGGATTGATCGATAAAGTTCTGCCAAACCATAATTTAATTAAACTATTGTTAGATGTTACCCGTTATTTATCATTAGCACCTTCAAAGTTTGGCTTCTATCGCCTCAAGATAAACAATGCAATCAAGCATGGCAATTGAGCTTGCAGACAATACCTGATTATGATTACTGTTTATCCAATACCTGATTATGATTACTGTTTATCCAAGTAACATTCTTTCAATGCATGACTTGTTTTAATATGAATAATATGCATAAATACTGCATTTCTTTTATTTAAAATAAAATTAAAATAAAATTTAACATTGTGTCACGTATGATTGTGTAACGGGAGAGAGAAAATGCAGCGGACCAGACCGGGATTCGAACCCGGGCCCCCTGAAACTCCGGTCAGGTGCTCTACCAACTGAGCTATCTGGCCACCGGCGATCGAATCCGGCTGACCGCCACATTCCTCCCTCCTTAAAGGTCTTTGGCCCTCCAAAGACCCCAACCCAGGCTCATCCCTGGCAGGTCTTTCACCTGTCAATTCCAGGGCATGGCACGGCACCAAATGTAACGGGAGAGGAGAAAATGCAGCGGACCAGACCGGGCCCCCTGAAACTCCGGTCAGGTGCTCTACCAACTGAGCTATCTGGCCACCGGCGATCGAATCCAGCTGACCGCCACAATTGCAACACCATGGTAAAGTTGACGAATGTTTACTTATATACAGGAGTGCTATTGTGTTTCGGTGCTTGACTAACCAAAAAGTCAAATACGGGCGTGGATGAAAAAAATAAAAATATCACATTTATATAGTTTAATGACAAGTGCAAGCACTAAAATTTATTTGCGCCAATGTATTCCCAATTGCGTTTGCGCTAAAATACTTATGTGCCAAATTTTCTTGTTTTACAGTATTTTTAGCCCCACTCTGAAGGAGAGGGGGTATACTGTTTTACCCTTGTGTGTCCAGCTGTGTGTCCATGTGTCTTTCCTGTCCATTACAAATTTTCTTGGCAGTTTTCTCAGCAAATACTCATCACAGATGATTGAAATTTCAGCACACCCAGTGTTTAGGCAAGCCATATTGTGGGATTCAATATTTTTTTGTTCAAATGTCAACTACTTGTTTATCCATGCATAAAATTCTGTCCATACCAAATTTCCATCACAGTTTTCTCAGCAGCTACTTAATATTGCAGATGATTAAAATTTTAGCAGATATGGTATTGACATTTTCACTTCGTACAAATTAATATTGTCAACATAAGATGGTACATTCACTCAAGTATATGCATCAATGAAATTCCTTAATTTAAGTGGAACTTATCCAATTCTTTTTAGCAAAAAGGAAAAGTGACGCTGCTTTAGACGACGTTATCATTCATGTGCCATAGTGTAAGGCAAAACAACAAGTATTTCACTTGTAAATTCCATGTACATTTGAAATTTAATATGGAGTTTGTTCCTGTTATTATGTGACAGAAAAGTTATTTTATTTATCTAGTTTGTAAATGTCATTCTTGTTTAAAATTACGCATAAGTTTAGATTCGTTTGAATCATTTCCAGTATTGACATTAAATGACATTTTTGATTTCCTCAGTTGCTGAGTTCCCATGCCACTTGTCCATTATTGGAATATCTCCATCAGGAATTCATTTCAAAGAATCAACAGCTTAAAGATCTTATCAAACAAAAACAGGTATATGTTATATGTTACATCCATAGATATGCACACATTATACAGTGAAATAATTTAATTTTAGTTGTAACATGTCATTTGATTGAATGAAAGATTTATTTTATATTGTATAACATAAGTTGCTGCATCACAATGAGTTATGTCAAACGTATTACTCCGCTTGACGTTGCTTTTAAAATATGCTCAATTTTAAAGCCATTTTTTGAGGAAAAATTGTTTTATTGTCTACACTGAAATTGAATTATAAGCAATGAAGCTGATTTTAACCTATGTTATATGATATAACATAACTTTGGGCAGTTTACGCTTTTTAGGTCACCTGAATAACTCAGGGTTATTGCTATCTGTCATGCGTCGTCTGTCATGTGTTATTATTTAAACATTTTCAGCTTCTTCCATGAAACCACTAAACAATTTTGGCATATAGCATCTATGGGTGAAGGGAAGTAAATATTATGAATTTCATGGCCCCTGCCTCCCTGAGTAGGGGGGAGGGGTGGGGCAAAAACCACTAAAATTAATTCAATCTTAATCTTCTTCTTTACTCCTGAACATTAAGCAGCCAAACTGTTAGTATGATTGTAATCAGCATTGAGCCCTCTACCAAAATTGTGAATTTCATGGCCCTTGGGTCAGGGGTTCTAGTGCTAGGGCAGGGCTAAATAAGTATATAGTGAAAATGCATGAATTCTTTGAACATCTTCTCTGTTCCTGGGTTTTATGAAAACAAACTAAATGCATAGTTATGTTGAGGAAGGTCGTGTCTTCCACAATTGTGAATTTCATGGCCTCTGGATCAGGGGTTCTGGTGTTAGGGTGGGCTCCATTGATTATAAAGTGAAAATGCATTAATTCTTTTAAGTCGTCTCTGCTCCTGGGTATTAATCCAATGAACTATGTACATAGGAATGATGAAGAAAGGTGCCTCTTCCAATATTGAATTTCATGGACCCTGGGTCAGGGTTTCTGGTTTTTAGGTTGGGCTCTATTGAGTATATAGTCAAAATGCATTAATGCTTTGAAAATCTCCTTTGTTACTGGGTATTATGCTGATGATTTAAGTACTTAGTTATGGTGAGCAAGCTTAAGTTTGCTTCTTCCAGAATTGTGAATTTCAAGGCCCTTGGGCAGGGGTACCTGGATGGGGTTGGGGGCTCTCATGATTTTATACTGAAAATGAATTAATGCTTTGAAATCTGCTCCTTGGTATTGATCGACCATTCATAACGAGCAAGGGTGCCTTTTCCAAAATTGTGGTGAAATGTGTGGCCAGGGGTTCTTGTGGGGTGGGGCATTTCTGATCATAAAGTGGAAATGCATATTTTCTTTGTTCCTCTGCTCTGTCTCTGGGTATTAAGTAATCAAAGTAAGCATGCAAAGTGTAAAGTTGTTATGAGCAATGGTGCCTCTTTCAAAATTGTGAATTTCATGGTCTCTGGTTTAAAACACGAACCAAATTCATTTGTTGGAAAGTCGTTACATGATACTCAGGTGACCTATAAGGCCCATGGGCCTCTTGTTTATAAACTGCTTTGTGGTTTATAAAGCATTAGCTGCCGTAAGTTATGTTATGTCGTATGACATAAGTTAAAATAAGCTTCATTCCTTAAATAACTAATTTTCATGCGGGAATATATTTTGTTGTTGTCAAGGCATGAAGAGAAATAACATTTTGTATACCATGGAATGTATTTTTTCCCTATTTTTAGCCTTGACCCTTTCCTTTGATCTTTGCTTGATGTTTTTAATTTATGTTTACTTTAGTTGAAAAGAAACTCAAAAAAAAAGTTTTTTATCAAACCTTACGTGCCATTTGACATTGATGAGATTTCATTTCAACTTCATCAACATTTCTTTACTTTGACCTTCCTTTGACTTTATTTTTCTTCATTAGTTATTTCCCTTTGCTTTCACCATTCATAATTAATCACTGTAAATACTGTATTTCTTATATCAATTTATTAAATTTTAAAGTACTCGCACAGTTTTTAATGATTATAGGTAGATTAATGATAGATGAAAAATGATGAGGCAATTGGCCTCCTGTTATTCTGTTCGGGCTAAATTTTATTAGATTTTGTACATTCAGAAATTTGTGTTCCCCTCTTTCTTCACTGAAAATGGGGGAGAAAGTAAGGGGATATTAATTCTGGTCTGTCTGTCTTTCTGTAACACTTTCATTTCCATAAGATATCTCAAGAAGCTTTTGAGCTAGCTCTTGTAAGGAAATTTTTACATAACAATACCCTGTAGTCAAAGAAAGACCCCTATTGGTTTTGAAGTCCAAAGGTCAAGGTCATAAATTCATACATTCTGTCTGTTTTTAAACTCATTTCTGTGCCATATTATATCTTGAGAAGCCTTTGATCTTTTGTAATGAAATTCTATACCACAACTCCCTATGGCGAAGACCCCTAATGCTTTTGAGGTCAAATAGTCAAGGTCATAAAATCAAACATTATATTTCTGTGTAAAACATTTCCAAGTGATATATCAAGAAGCTTTTGAGGTTTTTTAATCAAATTTTTTACCATAACTCCCTATGTCCCCACCCACCCCTCTTAAAGCGTATCCCCTCCAGCTCCCCTCTAGATCAGTGCAAGTGCTCTTCATTTTTTCCTTAAGTGGGGTGTCAGTTGAATTGATTATGTTAACCTGTGAACTATTTTTTTCAGTGGTTAATTCATCATGTAGCCACCCATACCGGGCTTCCTCCCACTATAGATAGCCTCTTTGAAGTGCAGGATCCTCTGTTTTGTGAGGTAACTCATCTAATGATGCAGTAAAACTTAAAATATGTATTCAAATAAAAAAAAATTGATGGACGATAATGAATTATCATGTGAAATCCATCTTCGCTAGCCAAGGGTTTCTGATAGCTACTCTCCTCATAATCCCTTGGTATACAGTGTTGAGAGAAGTTGTTTTTTTTTCTCGAGTTCTGATTGGGATTCCGTACACCCGGTCGACCAATCAGCAATTGTTTTTAGCCGGGCTTATTGCTCAAAGAGCAATTGCCGGCTTATGTGATCCTGTTCAAGGCAGGATGTTGACCCCATAGTCGCCATTTTAAAGTTACGTTCAAAAATATAGTTCTTACTCTCAACCGCTTTTGAGATGATACAAACGCTAAATAAAGCAACAAAAATAAAACGAAGTTTTATCTATATAATAATAAACATAAGAAGTAATGACTTTGAAAACTTCATAAGTCAAAGAACATAGTTCATTAGCGTTAGGATTTTTGATAATCAGTGTTACCGTAGTTCTCTACACATACGAGGTAAATCAGGAGAGGGAACCAGACTGGCCAGTTTGTTTACATTCAGCTGCGGTACCAGATTAATTCTGATTCTGACAAAATCAGACCGTGGTATTAGGATTGAAAAACTCACTGTCAGTGTCTTATCATTTATATTGATAGTTTTAAAATATTTTTTTCATCAGAATATAAACGTGATTCATGTAAGAAATCCATTCTACTCTGTAAATGAGCCCGGCTCTCTGTACTTCTGAGTACTTTGATTTGTAAATGACTATTTGCATTCGGGATACTTCTTGACTCTTTAATATTGGAAATGAAAAGGGCAAGTAAACAACGATTCGTAGGATAACATGCAATTCAATGAATATAGCTGTGGTGTCATCCAGTATCTTCTAAATAAATTATGTGATTAAGAATCTATATTGAAGCTTCAGATTTGTACTATAAATAATAAATAAACATAATTACTCAATTATTGTTTCTTAATTATTCTTGAAAAAAACTTTAATTTTTTATGGCGTGGAGCGAAGCTCGATCGTCATCTATTGATCAGTCAGATTTACGTGACCGAATGTTTCAGTGGATGCATCCGCGATAGAAAATAGCAACAGCTGTAAACCAATTTCTTTTAAAACGTTCACAATGAATAATAGCTTGAATATGGAATTACGTCAATTGTATCTTCAATTAATTCTACTACAAAAGAATGATATTATGTTTAATTTTTAGGCAAGAAAAACCTTATGGCTGTTGCGAATGAATTTCTACAGAGAGGTTGTGTCGAATGACATGAATAACATTTTGGGATGGATTACTGTAATACAAACAACCTTAAAAGTACTTGGACACAGATTTGAAGTTACTATTTTCTGTATAATATCACAACTTATATATTTTGATAGCATTTCACACAAAAATTAATTAAAATCTTATTTCGTTTAAAAGTTATTAAAACTTCAAATTTTTTGGCGGGTTTGATTTACACATCCTTGCACTTTCACAAATTTTAACTTTATTCTTAATCCTTAGGAAAAGTGGCAATCTTGAACTGCTATATTAATTTATTTTGTGTGAAATGCTATCAAAATATATAGTAAGAATTCCTGGCATACTCCTCAGAATAAATTAATTTCAGCTGCCTTTTATAGTTCCATTGTTTATTGGAAATCTCCTGAGTTAGCTCCTCCCACTTAATTAATAAACCCTGCCCACTGGGACTGCCTTCTGGGACTGCTGGGACTGCTGTGAGACTGCTTTAGCAGTCCCAGAAAGCAGTCCCCGGGACTGCTCTGGGACTGCTTTGTGTCAGGTTGGGTCTGGTCGGTACAGTAAAATAAATCATGTTTGGATGGTAAGATGCCATTCTTTTCACCTTTTTCAACATTTTTTAGACTTTCTATAATTGTAATTTGAAAGATTGAACAAATAAATGAATAATTTCTGGACTTCATAATATGTACCTAAATACTGGTATTTAGGTGTCCGTATCACGATAAGTATAACACAACAAAAATCGCGATATACCGGTATACCGATAAAATCGCACATCCCTAGTCACTCACTTGACCTATCTCAGATTTTTTGAAATTGTTTATCTTGTTCGACGCCATTGAAGCCTTTCAGGCTTTTGATTTTAAACAGGCGTCTTTATTTCTGTCGATGACGCAATCTGCATGTACCTGATAGATTCAAGATCACGTGACGAAAACAATCCTGTCTTTTGACTTCACCGTATGCCAAGGGATTATGAGGAGAGAAGCGTATCAGAAACCCTTGGTTAGCGAAGAAATCTGGCAATTTCTTTTCAGCAATTTCAGCTTTTGACAACTGTTGTCTTATTTTCTTAACTACTTAAAAATTCCAGTGAACTTTTGGAAAATTACAATCACAATATTTTACCAAAATCAACAGCTTATGAACTCAAAACTTTTCAACTTTATACACAACCATTCCCCCAGATGAATTAAAGTCTAGGCATTTTGCATATCAATGACAGCTGCTTTTTCAGTAAAATGGAACTTGTTAATTCACTTACCTTGTCATTGGTCATTTGCAAAATTAGTTTGTTAAAAACATGCTGATTGTACACACAAGTATTCTGAAGTTGGCATTAGAAAGATGTTTGAATTTTGATTGACAATAGCTATGTGATTTTTGGAGACCAGGTCTTCCAACAATCTATTGGAATTCACATGGGTACCAATTGCGCCCGTTACAATTTTTGTATTCATATGAAGCAGAATTTGTCTAAAATCTTATATACATGAAAAGAAGAAAACACTTGCTGTGGCCTTCAACTGGACATTTGAATATATCAACGATGCATTGTCAGTTAACATTGGTTATTTCCATTCTTATGAGCTTGAGATAAAAGATACCACGGAGTCTGAAACATCTGTTTCATATTTGGATATTTTACTTGAAAAGATGTTAATAGTGATCTAACAACCAAGCTCTATGATAAACATTATGACTTTAACTTTCCAATTGTCAGCTTCCCTAACTTGTGCAGCAATATACCTTCATCACCTGCATACAAGGTTTATATCTCTCAATTGTAGTTGTAAACTTTTTACATTTTCATCTTCTTCTCCAGAACTACTGAGCCAATTGAACTGAACTTGGCACAGAGTATCCTTGGGTGAATGGGATTTAAGTTTCTTCAAATAAAGGGCCACACACTCCTCCAAGGGGAGGTATTTACCAAATAGCAAAAATTTCATGACATCATTGAAAAATCTTATTCTCGAGAACCAATGGGCCAGGAAAGATGAAACTCATGTGGAATCAGTGTCAGGTAGTGAAGATTCAAATTTTTGTTCAAAACATAACCCCAAGGAGTAGGGTTGGGCCACAATGGACGATCAAAGTTTACATAGGAATATATTTGGAAAATCTTCAAAAATGGTCTTCTGTGAAGAACAGCAATGCTATGATTTGTCATATTTATATGAAAGTACAGTATAATTTGTCCAAACCGGCTATCGCCGGTTCCATAAAATTTGGCCGGTTTAGACAGAATCCGGAGTGCAGGAAAAATGCAGGAAAATATTAATTTTGAAAATTTCGTTGTTTATTTCGAGTACATCATATACATAATATAAAATGAAATTAAATTATGAAATCATTCAATATTTTGGAGTCTAGAAATTATAAAATAGTCTCACATGACTTACTGTATTTTCTTACGAAGTTTGAAAGTCGGGTGAAATGTTAGCTAAATCAAAATCTACAGGCACGCATTGTTTAGGCCTACTACTCGTATATATCAAGCGGACAGGGTTTCGCATGTCAAAGAGCTCATTCATTGTATAAACATGAATGGACAATTATTTACGATGTGCTATTCACTGGATTGAACTTTATTTTTTATGTAAAAAATTACGTCTTCCCCCACAGTGTTATGGCGCCATTTTGAAATGCGTTCGATTATCGATCCCGATTTATATTTTGATTTGTAAATCGCGTACATAACTTTTTGTGTTCATGTTATAATGTGGTAAAAAGAGTTAAACAAAGTTAAATGTTTAAAAATTGTAATTTAATCATATATTTTTTTAAAGTGGTTTGTGTCACCGCCGCATTTCACTGAGTTCGTAGAGTGGAGCTGCAATGGATGATCAAAGTTTTACATAGGAATTTTTAGGAAAAATCTTCTCAAGAACAACAATGCATGATTGGTCATATCTTCATCCTCAGGTGGTGTAGATTCAAGTTTGTTGAAATCATGACCCCAGGAGTAGGGTGGGGCTGCTATGGATGATCCATGTCAGTCGGTCTTAAGTGCTTGTAATGTCGGTCTTCAGTGCTTGTAATGTCGGTCTTCAGTGCTTGTAATGTCCATCTTCAGTGCTTGTAATGTCGGTCTTCAGTGCTTGTAATGTCCGTCTTCAGTGCATGTAATGTCGGTCTTCAGTACTTGTAATGTCCGTCTTCATTATTTTCATCTTTACATCCTTCCCTCTGTACATTCATCAAACTTTACATTCAGCTCTTTTTCAAAGAAACTGTCCTAGACGGCACAAGTCAGTACAAGATTGGTATAATATTAGTGAGATTTAATCAATTGTCACATCATTTTCCTTAACATTTACGGTATCGTAACTTTATCGTAATTTTGTCCATACTGTTCATTATTGTTTGTATAGCTCGGTTTAAGGGGGGACCTATGTCGTTCTACGTCAAGGCAGTGTTATGTGACGTCACAATAGCGACGTTTGTTTTTACCTGTTGATTTTTGCAACTGTGATATAGGCATAACATTGTTAATAATCAATAACGTACACAATTTACAAAAAGAAAATTTATTCATCATTAATAACAGTTTTATTTGATTTAAGGAGTTTGTTAATATTAGACTTCTCTTCCTTTGGTTAATAATTCATAGCAATTATAGTTGTAAAGAATTACGTCCATGATATGCTGATATATAAGTGCAAAAAGTTAAGATAAAATTCAGCAAAGAAAGCGGCTTAAATCAGGAAAATGTGTTTAATTTTATGTTTACCATTAATTGCATTTTCTGGATAAAACTAAGGAAAAAAAATAAGAAATGTACTAGTACCTATATTTGTTTATTTAATTGTAGTACATATAGATTTCATTGTATAAAGTCATTCCTAGGTACTGGTTTTTGACGGGGAAATGGGGGGGGGGGGGTTGAGAGAGATTGATTGGAATGAAGAAGAAAAGAATTAATCTAAATTAAATTATTTCTAATCGAAACAAAATGCTCGTTTTCGCAAAATGATTTTAAATGCAGATGTTTGACAGTGCTTACTTACCCTTTTTTTAGTGCAGAGAGGTCAATATTTATGACACAAGAGTACTACAATAAAAGAAAACGTCATATTTCTCGTTTATTTTATCATAAAGGTATACTTTTTTCTTTGTTAAAACAAAGAGATGAATCATTTCTTTCAAAAAATATGAATTAGAACATTTTCACACAAAGATTTTTTAAGATATTACCTGTTATGCATGTCGGAATTGTAAAAAATACGACAAGAAAAACGGGGTGATACTTACATTGTGCTCCAATATAATTTTTCATGCGAGATGAATTACAATGTATTTGGCTTCATTTTAAAGATAAAAGTCATATAAAATAAATGCCTGTTGATTTTAAATGGGATTTGACATTTTTGGTTCTTTTAAGCGCATATTTGGGGTAGAGCAATAATGTCTGAAAATAATCTATTTTTAGCATTTCACACTGTTTTTGCACGTGCTCCTGTGTAAAAATAAGCATATAAAGGTATTGTTTTTAATACCTTAAGATTAAGAGTAAGTGGTAAGGAAAGAAATGTCAAAGTTTTGAAAATTTCACACAAAGACTTTTTGGACATAGGTCCCCCCTTAAAAGAAATTATTCAAGATATTTTAATGAATATTCAAACATCAATATATATCTGTGAGAGCTTTTCAATTAAGTCTATGACCTTGCTAATATTTCTTTTATTTTATACATGTCTAGTCAATCTGATGTATTCTAATGATATCTCAAAAAGTAAAACCTGTAAGAAGTGAAGATTAGTTTGAAAGTGTTCAACTAATGACACTTGATCATTGATAAATTTAGATAATTATACCCCCCGCAAACGAAGTTTGGGGGGGTACATAGGAATCACCTTGTCCGTCTGTCCGTCCATCCGTCTGTCTAGCCGTCTGTCTAGCTGTACAAACATGTCCGGTTCATATCTTTCTTACGGAGGAACATTAGAATCTACTACTCCACACAAAGATTGCCCATCACCTAAGGGGGTGTCATGACCTTGACTCAAGGTCATTTGGAGATTCAAGGTCACTGGAAGAAAAATTTCATAATTCGTGTCCGGTCCATATCTTACTTATGGATAAACTTGGTAGGTTCTAATTTCAAACAAAGATTGCTTATGACCTAAGGGTGTGTCATGACCTTGACTGAAAGTCATTTGGGGAAGTTCAAGGTCACTGGAAGAAAAATTTCATAATTCATGTCTGGTCCATATCTTTCTTATGGATAAACTTGGTAGGTTCTAATTTCACACAAAGATTGCACATGACCTAAGGGTGTGTCATGACCTTGACCCAAGGTCATTTGGGGAAGTTCAAGGTCACTGGAAGAAAATTTCATAATTCGTGTCTGGTCCATATCTTTCTAATGGATAAACTTGGTAGGTTCTAATTTCACACAAAGATTGTTTATCACCTTAAGGTGTGTCATGACCTTGGGTCAAGGTCATTTGGGGAAGTTCAAGGTCACTGGAAGAAAAATTTCATAATTCCTGCCCGTTCCATATCTTTCTTATGGATAAACCTGGTAGGTTCTAATTTCACACAAAGATTGCACATGACCAAAGTGTGTGTCATGACCTTGGGTCAAGGTCATTTGGGGAAGTTCAAGGTCACTGGAAGAAAAATTTCATAATTCGTGTCCGTTCCATATCTTTCTTATGGATAAACCTGGTAGGTTGTAATTTCACACAAAGATTGCACATGACCAAAGGGTGTGTCATGACCTTGACCCAAGGTCATTTGGGGAAGTTCAAGGTCACTGGAAGAAAAATTTTATAATTCGTATCTGGTCCATATCTTTCTTATGGACAAACTTGGTAAGTTCTCATTTCACATAATGATTGCTCACTACCTTTGGATGTGTCATGATCTTGGGTCAAGGTCATTTGGGGAAGTTCAAGGTCACTGGAAGAAAAATTTTATAATTTGTGTCCAGTCCATATCTTTCTTATGCAAAACCTTGAATCTACTACTTCACACAAACATTGCTTACGACCTGAGGTTGTGTCATGACTTTGAACCAAGGTCATTTATGCAAGTTCAAGGTCACTGACAGAAAAAGTTCATAATTTGTGTCTTGTCCATATATTTAGTCTAATTTTTTTATTTGGCTGCGCCTTCGTTTCATTTATAAAAAATATAATGAGCAATTACATTTGCACTAAAAATGTTTTAGCATTTCTCTCTTCTCTTAGATCCATAAAATATTCATGATTTAACACTTCTGAAAAAACCGGGGGGGGGGGGGGGGGGGTGTATTTTGTCTCGTTTGGACAGTTCTAGTCATTTTAGTGTGAGTACAGTTTAATGTGTTTTAATCATCTTCTTTAGAGCCAACACAACATGATCAATACTACATCTGGTTGGTTGGCTGTTAATGGAACATTCCATGACATCATGGCACTGAGAGATTTGCCAAACAGCCTGCTATATCCTACCCCTCAAATGGCGCGACTACGGTCTGGTATATACTTACTACTTTATGTGTTTCCTAATGATAATAAAATATATACAAAGCAGTGTGATATATAGGTTGTAACTTAAACTTTTACAGGTGTTCTTCTTACAGAGATTGTGTCCAATATGAAAGCCAAAATAAATAAATCACTGGACACAGATTTAGTTCTTTATTCTGCTGTGAGTATAATTTGAGTTAAAACTTTACATGTATAAGTTACACAGAATAATTTAACACAAAGCTTTATTGATAATTGGAAGTGAGGTTTAATTTAATAAGGGTTTGTTCAGAAACAAATCTTTCATTAAGTATTTGCATATTTTGGATCAGAAGTTGTGCTCTATATGAAAAATTGAAAAAACACTTCAACTTTAGGTCATTTTTAAAGAAATTTACAGGATATGAGGAAACTGATGCATTTTATGACGTCATAATGCATTGAATAGAGGGAAAATTAGATTTAGATATGTGGTCTGCACCAACACTCCAAGTGATAAATACCGTATAAGTAGAATTTTTAGCAAGGATTTAATTTTGGCATTATCAGCAAGGGTGCTGATATCGCTAAAATTAGATATTGCTAAAAATCAATTGCGTTTTATTTCTAATAGCTACTTTAATGTGCATTTTAAAATCGCTAAATTGACATCTTGCTAAAAACAAATTACCAGATTTTAAAGACAAATCTCTAATTTTGCATCTCGCTAAAATTTCCACTTACACAGTACTGCATTTGCAACTAGCTAAACTGAGCAGATTTGATTTTTCAGAAATTCTCAGGGCCAATTAAGGCCCTAAGTGACTTTTCCTCTTTAGCAAATGAAATGCAGATTTCTTCCAAAAGAACAGTATGAAACAGTAAAAATTTGATGGCATCAGCTTTTCTAGAACCACTGTGCTAGAGAGGAAAGTCCTTATTGTGTTGAAAGATTAAAGTGTTAAGAAAGATTTAGATAAGTTTGTTTAGTTTATAGCTCTAAGGGAAATCATGTTCCTCAATAAGTGTAACATTGTTCTTATGACCATAAATCATATGCCAACTAGCAATTTTCTGGAGTTGCCTCAATGACTTGGGGATGATGGATAAGGGATTGTTTTTCTTTTTATTAGTATTACATTAGGAATCTTCTTTACAGGAATGAGTCTTACTGAGTTACATGCATTAATTCATATGAATTGTACATTAAAGTTTGTTAAAATCATGACATCTTGTGTGTAGGGTGGAATCATAGCTGAGATTTAAAGTTTTTGAGGCAATAATTTTTTTTTTCAGTACAATGTAGCTTTGATAAATGAGGCTTGGCTAAATTCCTTGTATTCATTGCAGCATGATGACACAATAGTTGGGTTGTTATCGGCTTTGAAGTACTTCAGGTACCCAGAATTCCCTGCCGTACAGCCTCAGTATTCAACGTCCATTGCCATAGAACTCCATGAAAAAGGCCCTTCTAACTTTGTTGTAAATGTTTACCTCAGAAATGAAACCAACTCTCCAAATCTTCGTCTCTTTCCTGTCCCCATTAAAGGTGAGATAAAGATAAAAACAATCAGCAAGCATAACCATTCATACTCGTTGACATCACTGTTAGGCAGGGCCCTGACTTAGGCATGCCAATTGCCCAATCTGTTTAAAATTCTTATTGTTGCTGTACAAACACCATCAGAATTTCAGATTGTAACAAAGATCTGATTTTAATCATATTGGCCAATTGCCAGGCTTACTATAAATAGCACAGAAGAAAAATAAACAAAAAGCCAAGCAGCATGGAAGCAGAAGCTTCCGATACACAAAATACTGTAGATTCCTTATTTTTCGGGAGTACTTACTTTCGTCAAATGGCTTTTTAACTTCAATTTGCGAGAATAAATATTCTTGAATGGACAGTTGATCAAGAAAATATATTGATTTCAGCACCATTAAAATATAAGTGATTAGTTTTATTTTGTAAGTGATGCTTCTTGCGAAATTACACGGTAATAAATTCCTTGCATATAACTAGGAATTTACAGTAGTCAAAGTGAGATACAATATTTCAACAAATAACCAACTTATTCTTAAGAAATGAAAATTGATATTTTTTGGTCAATTTGGATATCATTTAATAGAATTTACTCAGGTGACCTATTGCTATCTGTTTTCTTCCATCATCATCTGTCATGCATTAACGTTTAAACATTTTCAGCCTCATCTCTGGAACCACTGACCCAACTTCAACAATGAAATAAATTCATTGTTCTACATAATCTTAAGGAATAATCATATTCACGAGAATCAAATTTTCGCATGCACACTTTCTTGTGAAAATTATGCATGTCCCAAGTAATAATGCAAAAATAAAGTTCTTGCAAATAAAGAGTGATTTAAAGTATGCTATTTTATATTCAGGATGCAAAGATAGCTGCCCCTCTTCTCTCTTTACCAGTTTACTATTGGACATGTTGGTCAAAGATATCGAAACAGAATGCCAATTAGCAAAGCCTAGGTCCAAAGAAAGACAGGCTTCAGGTGAGTTAAACAGACACTTTAAGCAGAGCAAAACATTGGAGCATGTTTAACGTAAATAAGACTATTTTCCATGTGATCAGAAATTACCAGTACTTTTTATGGCGTCGAGCTTTAGCTCGGCGCACATATCGCTATGATGAAATCTCTGACTGTTCACCGCTTTCTTCATGCGCCAAATAATATAGTACTCAAACCAAGACCTTCATGTATCTGGCGTAGGAATATACATGCCACTTTAGCCCATAACTTTTGAGTGGGTAGGGATATGGCTTTCATATTTCACAGGTGTATTTCTTTAGACAAGAACTTTCTTTTGGTACAACCAAATTTGACCTTGTGACCTTGATCTTGGAGGTTGACCCACTTTAACCAAAAATTTCTGAACATTAATAATAGCTATAATTTCTGAATAGTTGGTGCTAGGGTTTTCATACTTGACAGGTTTATTCCTTGTGAGGAAACCTTTCATTGGGTATAAAAATATTTTACCTTGACCTTATAGAGTTTGGTCTATATATACACTATACAGATGTGTGCTAAAAGTGAAGATAAATTTATTTTTTCCCTGTATATTTCATTGAAAACAACATTTTGTAAAATCACTGGTATGACAACAATTCTTTACAGATTTTACCATTGTACCAATGATAATCCAAGAAATTGTTGTAGTCGATAAAAACAAGTTTTTATCTGATCAGCATCAATATTTTAAAAATATTGTAATTAAAGTGCGACATGAAAATTTAAAGGGGGAGGAAATAAGCACCTCCTTCAAATTTACCTAGTCTTGGAACCTCTGTCAATCATCTGAATTTAAGCCTGGGATTGGATACTTTGAATTGATTGACATTTAGTTGGCTTCTGTTGTGTATATCTTGTGTACCTTGTCTGGAGATCGTACCGGCCATCGAATTAACTTTCAGGCTTTTGATGCCTACCGCTTATGCCAACGTGATAAAGAAGCAATCAAATCGTTCTTTTCTTTTTTTAATTCATAAGAATATGCCATAAATATAATCAATCTATCAAATAATTAAATAAATGACAAGAAAATCATGGCTATTATAAATTTAATTTTAAACGGGAGGATTTCATATCACGATTACAATTGATAATTTTAATTTCCGTGTAAAAAAATGAGTTAACGTACATTTATTCCTCCATTAATTATACCCCACGCAACTAGTTGCTTGAGGTATAATGTTTTTGACCAGTCTGTCAGTGTGTCAGAGTGTCGGTCAGAGTGTCAGTCAGTCCTTTTTTTTTGTCAGCGCAACTCCTAATAAACCGCTGTACAGAATTTCGTCAAACTTTGCAGATATTTAGGACACACAATGTGTAGATGTGCATATTACCAGGAAATTCCGATTCCATTATTTTTTCCGGGAATTTCCGCACTTTTTAACTTAGGCATTTGGCCATACCTTGAATATAGAGATGAACAGTTTGTCAGCGCAACTCCTCATAAACCGCTGCACAGAATTTCGTCAAACTTTGCAGGTATTTAGGACACACAATGTGTAGATGTGCATATTACCAGGAAATTCCGATTTCATTATTTTTTCCGGGAATTTCCACACTTTTTAACTTAGGCATTTGGCCATACCTTGAATATAGAGATGAACAGTTTGTCAGCGCAACTCCTCATAAACCGCTGCACAGAATTTCGTCAAACTTTGCAGGTATTTAGGACACAATGTGTAGATGTGCATATTACCAGGAAATTCCGATTCCGTTATTTTTTCCGGGAATTTCCACACTTTTTAACTTAGATTTTTGGCCATACCTTTTATATAGAGATGAATAGTTTGTCAGCGCAACTCCTCATAAACCACTGCACAGAATTTTGTCAAACTTTGCAGATATTTAGGACACAGTGTGTAGATGTGCATATTACCAGGAAATTCCGATTCCTTTATTTTTTCTTAGAATTTCCACACTTTTCAACTTAGATTTTTGGCCATACCTTAAATATAGAGATGAGCATTTTGTCAGCACAACTCCTCATAAACCGCTGCACAGATTTTTGTCAAACTTTGGAGATATTTAAGACACAGTGTGTAGATGTGCGTATTACCAGGAAATTCCGATTCCTTTATTTTTCTGGGAATTTTGGCACTTTTCAAATTAGATTTTTGGCCATACCTTAAATATAGAGATGAACATTTTGTCAACGCAATTTCTCATAAACCGCTGCACAGATTTTTGTCAAACTTTGGAGATATTTTGGACACAGTGTGTAGATGTGCATATTACCAGGAAATTCTGATTCCTTTATTTTTCTGGGAATTTTGGCACTTTTCAAATTAGATTTTTGGCCATACCTTGAATATACAGATGAACATTTTGTCAGCGCGACCCCTCATAAACCGCTGCACAGAATTTCGTCAGACTTTGCAGACATTTAGGACACAATGTATAGATGTGCATTTTACCAGGAAATTCCGATTCCTTTATTTTTCTGTGAATTTCGGCACTTTACAACTTAGATTTTTGGGGATATCTTGAATATAGTGATGAACAGTTTGTCAGCGCAACTCCTCATAAACCGCTGCACAGAATTTCATCAAACTTTGCAGATATTTAGGACACAATTTGTAGATGTGCATATTACCAGGAAATTCCAATTCTTTCATTTTTTCCGGGATTTTCAGCACTTTGAGTTTTGGGGGAGCGTGGGGTATGTGAGCTTGCTCACTTTTTCTTTCATTAACAAAATAAAGCGACCTACGTTTGAAGCTAGTATCATGGAATTAAATAATATTATTTTTTAAAACAAGTATGACAACATTGTAACATTGTTCATGAGTCAAGCGAATTTATATTTATAAGACAAACCTGTATGTGTCGCTTTCATTCGAGACATGGTGACGAAGTTACGGTATAATAATAAGTTTTAGAAGAGAAATTACTCGGAATATAGCATCTTGCTTTTTATTTAATGTTTGAAATTAATAATGAATCCTGAAAGAAAAAAAATGATGCAGATGTTTAATTCCCATTTCATAGGTGTCGGGGAATCAACCCCGGTCCGAAGCCCCGGCCATTTTTACAGACCATGTGTTATGGAAAAATCAAGTAGGGTTTATCTTAGAAAGATATTTATTTAGACAGTAATATTTCTATTTCAACATTTTATTCTCAAAACATTGTTTTTAAGTTTCATTGTTATTTACCGAGAGACTGTTTTATGATTCACTTTCTTCTTTCGTTTTGCGTAGACGATGTGTAATTTGAATTACTTCCCTTTTTGTCACCAGATTACAACGTCAGATTTTGGTGCTAAATGTATTTTTGTTATAACACTTCATTAAGAAACACACTGTATATAAAAAATGCCGAATTATTAAAAATATCAATTATTTTAAAAGAAAGAAATTGAGAAGGATTCTGTCTGTTACAAAAAATGCTTTATTTCGCATTTCAATTCATGAGCTAAACATAAAAAAACGACCTCGGTTTACAAAGTCGTAGGAAAGCGCATACAGGTAATACACTCTAGGGCTCAGGTAACATCCTGTGTATATAGGTAGTATACACAAGCTAGCGTCATTCCCTCGGGGCTTCTCAGCCACTTTGATTAAGCTCCACCCCACACTAAACTTACCTGAGGAAAACCATACGGTTGAAAACCTCGGCCTTTAAGTCACATACTCACAATGAATTATATAATCAACATTGATCTTGAATTTTAGAACTGATGTTAAGTGAGGAATCATCTTTATGCCCCCGGATCGAAAGATCGGGGGTATATTGTTTTTGTCCTGTCTGTCTGTCTGTCTGTCTGTCTGTCTGTTTGTTTGTTTGTTTGTTTGTTTGTTTGTCCCCCAACTTTAACCTAGCCCATATTTATTGAGTGGTTGGGGCTATGGCTTTCATAATTCGTAGGTGTGTTACTTGTGACATGACCTTTCTTTGGGTACCACCAAATTTGACCTCTTGACCTTGACCTTGGAGTTTGACCTACTTTTATTCTATTTGTTATCAACTTTAACCTTCGCCATAACTTTTGAACAGATCGAGATAGAGACTTCATATTTAAAATGCATACTCCACTAAATAAGCACTTTCAACTGACACCAAGGACAATGACCTTTTGACCTTGACTGTGACCTATATGCTAAAAATAGATTTTTCGAACTTTCGGTATAACTTTTGAACCATAGGAGATAGATACTTTATATTTAGTATGCCTACTTCACTAATTAAGTGCTTTCAAACGACACAGAGGTCAATGACCTTGTGACCTTGACTGTAACCTTTATGCTAAGAATAGCTTTTTCGAATTTTGTTGCCGCCGGGGGCACAGTGTTTCACAAGCACATCTTGTTTTAATACTAAAACTGAATATGTAATGATCTTTTAGGGTTCATAAACCCTTTGCTTGCTTATATTAAATTTTTCTTTAACTTTTATGATTTTCCAAAGGAAATGTATATGCTTCTTAAAATACAAACTATTATAGCATGGCTTTCGGGGCAGAATTTGACAGAAAAGGCACTTCAACTTGACAAATTTATAAGGGAATAATAGACATTTGTGTCATTTAGGGTTATCTCTCTTATCAGAGTATCAATGTACCTTAAAAAAGATAACTATACATTTTCTGGTTTAAGTAATGAAATAAATAATGAATTTGGACAAAAATTGACCATTTGTCAGTGATTTTACAAAATGTTTTCAATGAAATATGTAAGGAAAAAATAAAATTATCTTCACTTTTGGTACAGATTTCAATCCTCGTGAAAAGCTGCCAAATGAGGGCATCAGTGTTTCACAAACACATCTAATGTTTTAATTCTGCATGTAATCCTTTTTTTCTTTTTTTTTCATTAAATTCATTCAAAACCTCCAAGCACATGTAAACAACAGAATTTTTTAACTTCATTTTCAGAGATAGACTACAAAGAGCTAGGTCCTATTGTGTTATCAATAATATTTGTTGTGGTTATGTCATTGACATTGTTATGCCGTTGAATTTCTCAAACCTGTAATAATTT